GCGGGCATGGCGCGCGCCGTCGCTGCTGACGATGGTTTCAGCGCCTTCGACGACGTCCCCGCGGCGCCGGCGGAGCCCACGGTGCCCGCTGCTGCCGTCGAAGGGGCCCGGCGCGGCCTGCGCTCCGACTGCGCGGATTCCGCTTCCTGGTACTACAACGACGACCCGGACAAGACCTGCGAGGCCTACGTGAGCAAGAAGAGCAAGAACTGCAAGAAGAAGGACGAGTTCAAGGTCAAGGGCGAGGACGCGTCGGCGGCGGCGTCGCTCCGCGCGCGCGCGTTTCCTTCGCGCGACACCCGACCTCGCAGGTGCCCGCTGACCTGCGGCGCGTGCGAGGTCGAGGACGCGTGCGCGGACAGCACGTCCTGGTACCGGAAGAAGACGAAGAACACGTGCTCGGGCTACGTCGCGAAGAAGAGCAAGAACTGCAAGAAGAGAAGGACGAGTTCAAGGTCAAGGGCGAGGACGCGTCGGCGGCGGCGTCGCGCCGCGCGCGCTCCTTCGCGCGACACCCGACCTCGCAGGTGCCCCCTGACCTGCGGCGCGTGCGAGGTCGAGGACGCGTGCGCGGACAGCACGCCCTGGTACTGGAAGAAGTCCAAGTACGACTGCGACTACGTCGCGAAGAAGTCGAAGCGGTGCAAGAGCAAGTACGCGGACGAGAGCGACGTGTCGAGCAAGGAGGCCTGTCCGGTCGCGTGCGGCGAATGCGAGGTCCAGGTGTCGTGCGAGGACGCGGCGTCGTTCGAGGACTCGACGTCCTACGCGGACCCGGAGTACGGAGATGGCTGCGCGTCGTGGGCTAGCTACGCCTGCGCCGGCTACGATTTTTCATCCGATCTCGAAGCCAACTGCCCGGTGGCCTGCGGCGTGTGCGCCCCCTCGGCCGCGCCGACCTCGCCGCTCCCCTCCGCCCTCCCCACGTCGTCCCCGTCGACGACGGCCGTGCCCATCCCCGCGCCGACGACCTCGCCGCTCCCCTCCGCCCGCCCCACGTCGTCCCCGCCGACGACGGCCGTGCCCATCCCCGCGCCGACGGCCTCGCCCCCGCCGTCCACGTCCGCGGCGCCGACGCCGCGGCCGTCGCCCAGTCCCACCCAATGGTGGCACCTGGACTTCCGCGACACCGGAGACTGCGCGCACGGCTGCGGCGACTGCGAGCACGTAGACGCGGCCTACGTCGAAGAGATGAACTACGACTTCTCTTCGTCGAGCACCTGCGTGTGCATCGACGCCGCGTCCGGCCTCTGGGCAGGCGCGATGGACTTCGTCGAAGACTACGACGGCAAATACTACTACGGGAACGGCCTCGACTACGATTATCAGTACGTACACAGCTTGACCCTGAGCGCGCACGACGATTGCGCCTACATCGCCGCGCCGCCAACCTTCCCTCTTACCCTCGACGCCGGAGACGGCGACGACACGCTCATCATTCGAGGGGACCGGAAGAACGGGGACTACAACTACGTGTACTTCGAAGCCATCGAAGATCGCATTCACGGAGGCGCGGGCCGCGATTGGATGTCGACGGCCCCGAATAGCGTGTCGTCCGGGAACGTCCCGTACCGCGGGTCGAACATGAGTTTCTACGGCGACGCCGGCGACGACTTCCTGGTCAACGTCGAGGGCAGCTTCGTCTTCGGAAACTGGTACGGCGGCGACGGCGACGACATGATGCGCGACTACCAAGAGGTGATCAGGGGGTCTCCC